CTCTTGTGTCGGGTATTTTGTATAAAAATATTTTGAGCCTTTTCCAAGCGGGAAGGGATAATTAATAATAAATTAATAATGCAAACCTGATACAAGTGGAATAGGGACGTTTTACGTTCTTAACCTTTCTCGAGCCATGTCTTCGTGAACGGGGTTCACTTAGTTTATAATGCACTACCAACAGCTTTCAATTGCTTTAGTGAATATTCATTCTTTCAAAACACATCTAAAAGAACTAAGTTACTAAACAAACACAACGTAAATAAGGGTCCTAACTAAGACGATCACGCCAAAAATATTACAAACGGCCTATTATTTAACCTTTTGAAAGATCATTTAGAGAGATCAAAACATATCCTATTTATCTTGGTTATATATATATATATATATATATATATATATTTTCCCACTTAGGACTTCAACCCACGACCCCACTATTGTAATGCAAATTCATCATAGAGACCTTCTATAGTATTGCTTTTGTATCATAGACCTTACTTTCATAAGTCATTAATATATAGGACTTCCCACGACCTCACTATTGTAATGCAAATTCCTCATAGAGACCTACTATAGTATTGCTTTTGTATCATAGACGTTACTTTCAAAAGTCATTAATATATAGGAGTTCAACTCACGACCCTACTGTTGTAATGCAAATTCATCATAGAGACCTTCTATAGTAATGCTTTAGTATCATAGACCTTAATTTCATAAGTCATTAATATATAGGACTTCCCACGACCCCACTATTGTAATGCAAATTCATCATAGAGACCTTCTATAGTATTGCTTTTGTATCATAGACGTTACTTTCATAAGTCATTAAATTATAGGACTTCAACCCACGGCCCCACTATTGTAATGCAAATTCATCATGGAGACCTTCTATAGTCTTGCTTTTGTATCATTGAGTTTATTATCATAAGTCCCTAATATAGGACTAGTCATTGTGTTACAGTACTTCAAGCAGTTGGGCTCCCGACCACCCCATAAATATATAATTAGAAAATTTGTTAAAAATTGTCTAAGTCTTGGAAGGAGTTCATGTATAAGAGAAAATTTTCCTAAGTTATAGATGTCTTGTATGGAGGAGCTGCCGGATATTGGGCCGTCACAATAACATGCGACAGGGAGAAATTTAACAGGAGATGAGCAGCAACACCCATCTGCAAGTCCATTACCCATCAGATGGACTGTTTTCTTATAATTTATAAGTCCTTATTTTAATTATAAGACCAATAGAAAGATTGAGAGAGATTGTAATTGGCGCAAGATATAATAAATACCTGTAATATCCCACTTCAAGAAATCATTACCTCATAATCAAGCAAGAGCAAAATATATATATATATATATATATATATATATATATATATATATATATATATATATATATATATATTCTCACCGGGAAAAAATCGCTTGTGTGTCATTTAGATTTGCAACAAGTAATCTTTATTAAAAAAAATATTTATTCAAATCATTAATATTAATATTTTAAACAAAACACGGAAAGCTTAATTAGTAATATGATTTTAATTTTGAATAAATTTTGTCCGTTTAAATAAATGTAAGTTAAGCTACGCTTCTAAATAAAGATCGGTAAGGAAATAGAAAAAGTATAAATGTAAGTTAAGCTACGCTTCTAAATAAAGATTGGTAAGGAAATAGAAAAAGGCATTTATCTTCCTTACTATCCACGTTGCATGACTTTTATTATGACAAAGCATTTTAAACAATATGAAAATTTACAACGCTACTTTGCAGCGATAACAAAATAAGAATCAAGCAAAATTTTCGTATTCAAATACTTTGTTCTTTTTTTAAATACAGGATTTTTTTAACACGAGCTGACTTTTCACTGCCATTTTCGGTAGGTGAAGCGATGAGTTTCACTTTTTTAGAAGAGTTAATTTTATATTAACACTGTAAAAGTTCCTGATGAAGTTTGTAGTTAAACTTATCACGCCGCTAGCCGGACAGAACAGAACAATGTCTAACGAGTTGGATGGAATCATTTTATGATCATCATCGTCATCTTCATCACACACGTTTGCCACGCTAGACAGGTGGGTTCATAACAGCAGTTTTTATTTCTATGTTTTATTTGGAGAATAATGATGCCCATTTCCTGATTTAGCTGTGCTCTGTCGTCTCTTACGATAGCCACGGATAGATCCATATTATCGAAACCCGTGGTAGTTGATATCCTTACGCCGTCAACAAACAGGCATGTATTTTGTTATAACTATACAGGGTTATTTCTCAATAACCGGCTAAATTTGCATAGAGAGCGTTCAGAATAAGTAAAATAGGCAAATGGTGAAGAATCATTCATTAAAATAATCTCAAACATTCTGTCCTTTTTATCTTTGAAATTCATATTCCGTGTTAAAGCATTATTTAAACTGATTTTTCTTCGCACGTACACATTTGTAAGGCTCTATCTGTATGCAAAGGGTTGTTGACCATAAATCACAATCAATTTAAGATTCTTATTAACTCATATTTTGAATAAAAACATTTAAAAAAAATGAAACCGCTGAAAAAAACTCATTACTTAACTAAGTTCTTAAACTAACGTAAATGTACCTAAGTATATATTTTTGTAATTATTTTGAGTTTTTAATTAACGTTAATAACCAAGTTCTTAATCTAATGTAAGTATACCTAAGTAATTTTGAGTACACAATAACACACATACAAATAACACACATACAAATAACACACACAGTAATTACGGTACATTTACATTTGTTGAAAAACTTGGTTATTAAGGTAAAAGAAAAAGTTTTATTATTTTTGCTTTTTAGTTTTCTCGGCAGTTTAATTTTTATGTTAAAAAGTTTTTATTTTATAATTTTTTGTGCCTATAATCTACTAATTACTACATGCTTAATTTATGATTATTTTAAAATAGCTACTTACCTTACATTAGCTATTAACTGTTATGTAATCCTACTTTAACTATTTGTTTAAAGCTGTAATCGACCTCGGAAAGAAATTGTTTGCCAAAGGGCTGGCATATGTGGCATTGAGTAGAGTAAAACACTTGAGGGTATTGCTTAATCTGATCTAGAGCCAATTGAGTATTATACAAACCTCACGATGAACGAGTCTTATTAGAAATGCAGAGACAGAGGTCTACAGACAAGAGACTGACAGGTCTAAAGCTCATTCATCGTGAGATTCTTTTGCAATGTAATGTAGTTATTATGTAATGTTGTAATGCAAAACTTAGCATTTACAAATGTAAGTAAACAGTAAATCACCCGTATTTTCCCACCCATATGGCATATTTTTTCCCAATTTATATTCATGAGACCAATTTCGAGGTATATACCTTTATAACTACCCTTTATACCCTATCCATTAAAAAAAAGAATTATCAAAATCGGACTACTCCTTAATAAATAACCCAAATTTTCCCGCGCTTAGGCTAAGAATTTCTATTTATTATTTATTGTAATCGCCTTATTAAGTATAGCCACGCTGCAGCTGTGCTAGCTATACAGTCCGTACGGATAAAGAATGGGATTAGAAATGGCGACTAATAGAGCCCGTACTGTCAACATACACAGTACCAATAGCGAGAAACCCGCTAACAACGGTAGAACGTCATAACATTACATTATACGGTTAATAGAAAATTTTCTATTAATAGAAAAATAGTGAAGAAACTGTATACTCTAATATGTAAATTAATTTAAAAATAATCTAGTGACCCCCTATAATTGCGCCTGGATGGGATCTATTAATGTGGCGTTGTTTAGACTTAAAATAAATGGTCTTTTATGATTATACTTATCTTACAATCAATATTTCTATTTTAATAAATCCTCAACATTTTACGGATAAAATTTAACTTGGATCATTCTTGGTATTACATTTTATTTGTTTCTGAAATTTTATTAAGACCGATTTACACTTCAATAAGTACAGTAGCGAGTTAACTTGCGAACCTGACGAGTTAAGTAGAAAATCTCGTTTGAACGGTAAGTAGTGAGTTAAGTAGCAAGTTAACAATTAAGTTGAACGAGATAGCCGGCCGAGCTATTTTTCGGCGAGTTAAGTGCGAAGTGCTGCCCTCCCGCACGTCTCCCGCCACCAGCAACTAAACTCGCCGCTCACACGAGCGAGTTTAGTACAGCGCATAAGTTGACAAGATCTATATAGTGTATTATCTATGGACAGAACGAAACTTTTGCGCGCCAAAACATACTTTTGTACTTTTATAATTAAACTCGCCAACGCCACGTTTGCGCGCCAAAAAAGTATATCTGTACTTTTATAATTAAACTCGCCACAAAGTTTTTACGCTGCTATTTATTAAATATTTATATATACATTTAATATTGAGTTTTAATAATGAAATGGACGGAAGATATTGCGTATAAATTCGTTCAAGAGTATTTAGATCATGAATGTTTATGCAATAGTAGAAATTTAAATTACAAAATTAAACGAAAGTGAAAGTGAACACAAGTAAGACGAAGGTTATGGTTTTTGAAAGAGAAGAAAGTAAAACGATTTGTGAAATAAGAATAGAAGGGGAGTTGATCGAGCAAGTAGACGAGTTTGTATATTTGGGCTGCGTATTTAGCAGGGATGGGAGATATGATAAGGATATAGAACGACGAGTGAATGCGGGAAATAGAGTAAATGGGGCCCTACACTATATTGTGAAGAGTCAAAATGTGTCGAAAAAGGCACGCATGGCAATTCACAATGCTGTGTTGGTCCCTACTTTAACGTATGGTAGTGAAAGTTTGGTGTGGAATGACCCAATTTCCATTCCATTTTTTTCCCTTGTTAAGAAGTAGATTTTAACAGCTCCTTTTAGCTAAATAGGAGAATTTAAGTTTATTACTGAACCGATCCTTTTTCCTATGTAATTTCTTTGTTTAATTGTCCATGAAAATATCGTCATAAGTGGGATCGCCCGTGCTTTTTGTTAATCCGTTTATTTAAAATATTTCAGGGAAAAGAATTTGAATATGGATGTGGAGTTGGTGAAAGGGCTGTTGGAAACTATCCAAAATGCAATGGTTTTAAATAAGCGGTACGACAAAGTAGCGGTGCCAATTTTCGACCCGGACAAAAGCAACGACGGAGCAGCTGCCTGGTGCAAAAGCTTTGATAAGTTTGGAGACGAGTTAAAATGGAGCAGCTTTGAGAAGGTTGCAAAATCCGGTAAGGCCCTTCGGGGCTCTGCATTATCCTGGTTTGACACGAAGAAGCCGAAACAGGTAGATCATAGGAAGCATTCAATAAAGGTATTATGTCTTACCCGCAAAGGAAAAAAACTTAGTGAAAAACTGTTAACTGTTAAATTAAAAATATTATGTCCGTTTACCCGCAAAATAAAAATCTTAGTGAGAAACTGTTAAACACTGTGTTATGAACTTCGGATTCCGCAGATTCTTTCGATGGTTATACTAGAGAGAAATTAAGACTATTAAAATCTACTAAAATATGTTTTACTGAGGGCCAACTAATAGAGCTTGTTTGCGGTGTAATTAGTAACTTAAATGTAAGAATGGCTAGTTTAAATAGTTTTGTGGAGTCGATCTCCGATCTCGTTTCCTTACTTTTAACTAACACACAATTTCCAAAAAAAGGCCGTCTGAACAGTAGTCGCGTAACAATTCACCAGGTCCTAGTAACCCCAAACGTTTTAAACCTAATTCGACTCAAAATAACTAACTCTCAATCAATAAGTTTTTGATAACCGGGAAAAAAAGACCGGCCATGATGAAAGTAAATGTTATTTAAACTATCTTGTTCTTATTGTAAAAAACATGGTCATAGCGAAGGTAAATGTTTAAAAAAACGCAGATAAATCATGACACGTCAGTAAACATTTTTACCTTGCAAAAAAAATAATTTGTGACCAGGCTTACATTCAACGCTGATTTGTATAAATAACCCTGAAATAAATTCACTTATTGATACTGGAGCGGGCTAAAGCATAATTAGTGAAAGCATTTATAGACGGTCAGGTTGCCGCCTCCCTTCTTGCTCTGTATATTTAGACGGCGTAGGAAACTGAAAACTACACACCTTTTCGACTTTGACCTTGCCCATAAAAACCGAAGATATTTGTCTCGAATTGATGCTTTGCGTTGAGAGATGATAATTTTAATTATGACTGTTTGTTAGGAAGTTTTTTTTTCTGAGATGACCGGAGAGGCTGAACGGGATTAGCCCATTCACAGAGACGACTACAGGAATAATTTCGGTCGGCAGACCACACCACATTTCGGTTACTTCGTGAGCCATGTCCAGATATTTTGTTTGCTTATCTGTTTCGGCTTTCACGTGGTTCTCGTCATACGGAATGGTAATGTCGACCAAAATATCCTTGACTGTGCCCGGTCCATCAGCATAAAATTAGGCTTATTCTCAAGAATAGTCCTGTCTGTGATGATGACCCGGTCCCAGTAGAGCCTGGCGTGATCGTTTTCAAGCACGGCTTTCAGCACGTACTTGCAAAACGGCAATTACCAGTCCACGAGACCGTATTTCAGAGTGGGCTATTATGTCTGGTTACCCGCAAAGAAAAAAACTTAGTGAGAAACTGTTAACTGTTAAATTAAAAATATTATGTCCGTTTACCCGCAAAATAAAAATCTTAGTCAGAAACTGTTAAACGCTGTGTTATGGACGTCGGATTTCGCAGATTCTTTCGATGCTTATGCTACAGAGAAATTAAGACTATTAAAATCTACTAAAATATGTTTTACTGAGGGCCAGTTGAGGGAGGCGACTGTATCTACGAAGGGCTCACGTAGTGCCCTGTAGTATCTCCCGTGGAGCTCCTTCTCCTTCCATACGGTCTACCGGTCGGAAATGTTTTGTACCGCCTTTTGCCTCTAGAAACCTTTGTCTACCCTTTGTCTCTAGAAATGACTTTATTATAGAATGGATCATCCGATCTCCCTAGGAAATAATGACGGAGGCTGTACACTTCGCGATTATGCATGGTGAGCGCGCTCAGAAAGCCACGCTCACCATGCTTTCGCGGCAAGTACAGCCTCATTACCGACGATCTCGAATGATGCATCCTATGGGTCGTGTTGGTAGTGCAGACTTTTGTATCCAGGGCGTTAAGTTCAGTCTGAGTCCACCTGTGTATGCCAAAGGTATACATGAGTACAGGCATGACCCTACCGTTATATGCGTGTGTCTCATTCACACCGGACAAAAGGCTATTTAATAAGCACTTTGGTCAAGCGCGCATAAAACACGTCGCAAAGTAACCTGTTTCATACCAGCCTCATCAACACCGACGTTCTGTGACATACCCTGGTATCGGTATATTTCAGCCTCGGAAAGGGTCCTTAAGTCATTATTATTTTAAATAATTATTAGAGATTAGGCTTAAAGATGTTTAACAAAGGTGAATTTAAAACATTTGTTTGTTCATTCAGCAGTTCAATGTTACCATTATTATTATTTTAAACCTCTAACAGTTCCAGCACACACAGTCGCAACCCTTTATTACAAGTATGTAAGACTTTAAAGGAGTGGTCGTTGGCTAGGTTGTGTCCAGTGTCCAAGAGATGCTTAGCAAAATGGGATTTATCAGGATTGCAATTTCTGTACGCGGCTTAATTCTCTTTACAGCGTGTGCCGAAATTGCGACCAGTCTGATCCACGTGAACGGCGTGGTATTCGACACAAACAAGTTTATAAATACCCGATTTTTGACTAATATTCAACTTAACTTTATTATTACAAGTATTTCTAAGAGAATTGTTTATTTTTAATGGCACGTTAACGCCGTTTTATCTAAGAGTATTAGCTCTTTTTCTGATATGGAACCTAAGTAGGTCAAACTGCTCGCACATCGCCGGACACTTGAGATTGAACCGCGTACATTGAGGGTTGATTGCGAGAATTGCGAACAACATGCTTTTGTTTCTTTTTAAGAAGATTATTAATGAGATTTATTGAAAAACCGTTTTTTTTTTAATTTGGTAAATTATATTAAGTTCTTTTTTATATAAAATATGTATATTTTCCGCTTTTTATTGTTGCATTAACCGTCCGTTCACTGTTCCATTAAGTAAAGAAAATTATTTCTTTGTTTAATTGTCCATGAAAATATCACACGCAACCGAAAGTCAGCGTTCCTTTTTTTCTTTCTTTTTTATGTACTATCCGTGCGCTTATGGAATGGACTTGAAAATGGCGTCACCTCTATTGAACTCTCGATCCACACTGTCGCTATCTACTATCCGGGGGATAAGTCGCTCGCGTCCGTAGCCTTTGACCACCTGTTCCTAGGCCCACCCTACACGTGTCCCCCGGGTGGTGCTAAATGAGCGACAAGCCGATATCACAGACTCGGCTCCACGCTGTGGTAACGGCGATAAATATACCACCCCATTTTGCACCATGAGGAATCGAATTAAAGAAATGGCCCCGAGTTCCCGGCGCTCCTTTAATGGAGCAGGGGTGCGAAGAATCTCCGGGAGGAAAACCGGCGACGAGGTTCGCCACCCGTCACGTTCTGTCTCCCGGAGAGGCGAAAAGTGGATTGCAGAGGCCCGTCTGGCTACGTTGAATGTATGTGGGGCAATGAATGATAAAATGGATGAAGTATGCGATATGATGTATGATAGAGGAATAGATGTGTTATGCGTAAATGAAACGAAAAGGAAGGGGAAGGATGTCACTACACATGGCATGTATACCGCATACTGGTCTGGTGTAGACGAGATCGAGCGGGCATGCCAGGGAGTAGGTATCATCCTTTCAGAAAGAATGGGCCAATGTGTGAAAGAGTATGAATGTGTAAGCCCAAGACTGCTATGGATACGAATGAAAGTGGGCTTAAAGAAGTTGTTTGTGTTAGGGGTCTACGCCCCAGACATGTCTAAGCCCACTTATATCCGAGAGCAGTTTTGGGGAAATGGTAAGGATGGTGTTAATGAAGTGTAAGGGAAATGAAAATATTATTATGCTAGGAGATTTTAATGGAAGGGTTGGGGTCAGGAGGCTTGGTTATGAAAGGATATTGGGAACGTTTGGTGATGAAAGTATAAATGAGAATGGTGAAAGTCTCCTCACCGTATGTATGGAAAATAATCTTTTTGTGACGAACACTTGCTTTCGCCACAAAAGGATTCACATGTATACTTGGAAAAGAGGTGACGATAGAAGCATGATAGATTTCATAATTGTGGATGAAAGATTGAGGGGCGCAGTGGTAGATACGAGAGTTTACCGGGGTTCTAACGTAGGTACGGATCATTATTTAGTTTTATGCCGAATTAATGGTTTATTCAGGCGTTGGCGCCATCGATCGTCTGTGTCTACCACTGCGTTACAGCGTATTAGAACAGAAAGGTTACAAGATGAAAGTGATAAAAACAAGTTCAAATGTAGACTGAAAGAAAATATAAGTGGTTTGGATGAATTATGTATGAAGGAGTTAGACTTGGAGAATATATGGCAAAATGTAAAGAAAGGTTTAGTGGATGCAGCTACCGAAGTATGTAGTGTTAGTAAGAGAAAGAATGAAAGGAAAAAATAATACGTTATGGTGGGATGATGAGATACGTATGGAAGTTGAAGCAAAAAAAGAGAGCATGGCTAGATTTACTAGCAACAAAGGCTGCTAATTTTAGTGGTACGAATGGTGATATTGAAAGAAAAAAGGCAGTCTTTAGACATCTTAATAAGAGAGTAAAAGAAGTAGTTAAAAGAAAAAAGCAAGAAAGAACGGATAAGAATGATAGAAGAATATCGGATAACTTCCAGGCAAATATTAAAATGTTCTGGAAACTTGTAAGAACTGCCAAGGGACATTCAAAATAGCCTATGATGAATGCTATAAGAGACGAGAATGGCTATATTCTGAATGATGATATAGTTTCACTCGAAATGCTAAGGGCTGGAGAGGAAGTGGTGGCAGGCCTGCTGCACACCTTGTTTAATTTATGCTGGGAACTGAAGCGGGTACCGGTAGACTGGTGCAAAGCCGTGATAGTCCCAGTATATAAAGGAAGAGGGTCGCAGCAGGACTGTAAAAACTGTATGCTAAGGTACTGATTGAAAGGGTCATGAAAGAAACTGATGGAAAAATTTGGGAAGTGCAAGCGAGATTTAGAAAGGGAATGGGATGTACAGATCAAGTCTTTTCCATGCGCATGATCGCGAAGAAGTTTCTGGCCAAAAACCAA